ACCCCCACAACAAAGCAGACAGGTGCCTGGGCCAGACGGGCACCCCCTCCAGTTATTCAGGAGCCCAGGCGGACATGGTGGCCTCGAAGTGGTCTGTTTGGGCAGGCCAGATGAACTTCTGTAGGGGAGGAAAAAGTCTTTCTATTCCACCCAAAATGAGACTGAGGAAAGACAGATCAAGGGAAGGAAGGCCAACTGTTAACATGCATGGATAGCCCACGCACTTTACAGAGAGAAACCACAGCAATTGTAGCAGGTGGTTCTAGAACTCGGGCTTGTCTAGAGTCTGAACAAGGAACAGCACATTTGGACAGAAGCCTCCAAGGGAAAGATGACAGGCTCCCAAGGGGAGCAAACTGGGGGAGGGTCTTGGTTCATTCCAGCTGCTGTCACAGAACTCAAGACCTGGTGGCTTATAAGCAGCAGGAACTTCAAGGCGCTCCCGGTTCTGGAGGCTGGAAGTCCACGATCAGGGCACCAGCAGGGTGGGGTGGGGCCCCTTCCTGGTTCGCAGCCAGCCAGCTTCTCACTGTCCTCACATTGAGCAAGGGGCTGGGAGCTCTGAGGTCTCACTAGGGCACCGTCCCCGTGCATTCCTGGGGGCTCCACCCTCACGGCCTCAGCACCTCCCACAGGCCCCACTGCCTGTGCCCTGGCGGTTAGGATTTAACACATGAATTTGGGGGAACATGAACATTCGCATGACAGAATGAAAATATTTGGGGGAAACTAAAGATAAGGTTCATCAGCATGGCTCCCTCTTGGTACCCACTGTCTACCTCCTTCATGGCCACAAAACTTCCCTGGGAGGCGGACTCATGGCCGCCCTCCGTTCTCAGCAGTTTCCATTTGAGTCACATATCGGGAGCCCCAGAAGGCATTTCTGCATGTTGATTCTTGCTTGCCTCCAGCTCAAAATAATCCTCCTGCCCAAGGGGCATATTTTGGGGTGGTGTATTTCCATCCCCCTTAGGATACAGCCTCAGAGGGCACCTCCCGATGTGGGTGTGCAGGGGCCTCCGACCCCCGTCCCCTGGTCTGTTGTCCGCAGCTGAAGCTGGAGGATGCTGTGGAGCACCTACGGGAGGAGATGGAGAAGACCCAGAAGTTGCAGACCAGGGAGCAGCAGGCCTTGGCCGAGTGGCAGGCAAGTGCTGGCGAGGAGCCAGCGGGACAGCCCGGCCAGACCCCAGGGCATCACGGGCCTTCAGAACCTGCAGACCCCCGGTGGGACACACTGTCACAGGCGGATGAGAGTGCAGGGCCTGGGAGAGGCTCGGACTCCCCATGGAATCAAGACTGCATGTGCACTCAGCTCAGGCTGGCCACTTTGGAGATGCAGGGATTGAGGGGTGCACAGAGGCCTGGAGGCTGTCATGTGAGGCCCACCCCCCTGCCTGCTGTGCTGGTTTTCTGTGGATCACGGGGCCCAGGGAGACAAACCAGCCTCCCTGGAGTGGCCCCTTCAAGTAGATGGGCACGAGTGGACACGGGGTGGCAGTTCCCGTGGCAGCGCCTCACCTCCAGCCCTGCCCTGCAGGAGAAGGTGAAGGAGCGGAGACAGCGCATTGTCACAGAGTTTCAGAAGGTGGCTGTCCTCCTGGTGGAGGAGGAGCAGCACCTCCTGCAGGCCCTGAGGCAGGAGGAGGAGGACACAGCAGCCAGGCTGCAGGAGAGCAGGGCCGCGCTGGAGCAGCAGAGCTGCTCCCTGGAGACACTGCTGCTGCAGCTGGAGGACCGCAGCCGCCAGGAGCCGCTGCAGATGCTGCAAGTGAGGAGCGCCCGCGCACCTGGCCGGGGGTGGCTGGCCTGCCGGGGCAGAGAGAGGCCCACAGGGAAGGCTGCGTAACAAGGACCACAGGCTGGGGGCTTAAATGGACATTTGTTTCCCACAGTCCTGGAGGCTGGAAGTCAGGGATCCAGGTGGGGACAAACCTCCCCCTGAGGTATCTCTCCTTGGTGTCTGGACAGCCATCTCCTACCTGTGTCCTCACATGGCCGCCCTTCCGCATCTGTCCTGGTCTCCAAGGACACCAAGTCACACTGGATCAGGGCCCTTCCTAGTGACCTCATTTCACCTTCATCACCCCTGCACGGCCCCATCTCCACCCACAGCCTCATCTGAGGTCCTGAGGGCTGGATTCCACCATGTGGATTTGGGGACAATCAGCCTGACAGGTCCCAGTTTTAGACACCTGTGTTCTGCATATCCTCCCGAGCCCGGGGGTGCGGCCCAGGGGCCGCTGTCACCCCCAGGGCGATGTGAGGCAGGGACATCCCAGCCCTGTCAGGCCTGGTAAGGAAAGCAGGGGCAGGTCACATGACCCCGTCTGGAAAGGGGGAGAAGGCACAGCTGGCCTGCCGGGGAGGGGCCTGCCTGCCGAGGCCTGAGAAGGGGCAGGGATCGCCTGGGCCAGCGGGTGGGCAGCTGGGTGGTCGACTGTGTGAGATGACGAGACCCAGGGCTCAGAGCACACCTCACGCTGAGCCACCACACACAGTGCATTTATACAAGTGAAGTAGATGCCATGTGCAAGGTCCGCCTCGGTTTCACTCCTATTGTTCTGGCATCGTGGATTTTGTCCCCAGCAAGTGTCCTGGTTTAGTTAAGACTATGCACTCACCCCAACTTTGGGGAATACTTATTCTTCTTGTAAAAAGCAAATTGTGCACCACCCCCAACACTGCCGAGCTGCAGGCCCTCAACGTGACAACCCCCTTGGGTCGCCCATGCCCTCCCTGCCTGTTGAAAGCAGGACAGTGTCCTGGCTCCCACACAGGAGAGAGCAGGAAGCCCAGGCAGCCAAGAGACAGGGATCCATTCTGGGAACTGGAAGAGCTCACGGGAAAACATTACAAATTCCTGCTCTGCAGGTCAGAAATGTCCACACAGGGTGCTTGGGGACACCCTCGATTCCTAACGAGGCATCGCGGATCTCCCTGTTTTTGCAGGATATGAAGGAGACACTGGACAGGTAGATGACCACCCAATGTGGAGGAAGGGAGGGCTTTGCATGTGGCCAGAGGGGACAGTATACCTGTCCCTTCCGGAGGAGGAACAGCGTGAGTGTGCAGTACCCAGAGGCCACCCCCCTTGCGCTGAGGACTGTCTGCAGAGTCCCGGGGCAGATAGAGGTGCTCAAGAGTTTCCAAGGTACGTGGGGCCTGTTCTCTCAACCGGAGCCACCCCTGGGGGCCTTGACATTCCCTGGACATTCACACTCTACCCTCACCGGCCACTCCCAGGAGATGCCCAAACAGCCCCCAGCTCATCTCCTTGGCACTGCCAATATCAACAGCTGGGGTGCAGCCCATGCGCGGACCTAGGCTCACAGCTGGATTCAGCCAAGGGGAGGCCCGGGAGGGGTGGTCAGGGAGAACAGGGGTGACTCAGCCCCACCCCTGTTGCTGGGCCTGTCTGCAGAGAACGTGGTGCCTGACCCGGCCACGGCGTACCCCTACCTCCTCCTGTACGAGAGCCGCCAGAGGTGCTACCTCAGCACCCCCCCGGAAGGCATGCCCTGCAGCAAGGACAGGTTCCTGGCCTACCCTTGTGCAGTGGGCCACCAGACCTTCTGCTCAGGGCGGCACTACTGGGAGGTGGGCATGAACCTCACTGGGGACGCGCTGTGGGCTCTGGGTGTGTGCAGGGACAACGTGAGCCGGAAGGACAGGGTCCCCAAGTCCCCCGAAAACGGATTCTGGGTGGTGCAGCTGTGCAAGGGAAAGAAGTATGTGCCCCCCGTGCCCACCCTGCCCCCCATCACGCTGACGGAGCCCCCCAGCCATGTGGGTGTCTTCCTGGACTTTGAAGCCGGGGAGGTGTCTTTCTACAACGCCAGCGGTGGGTCCCACCTGCACACCTATGCCCAGGCCGCCTTCCCAGGCCCCCTGCAGCCCTTCTTCTGCCTCGGGGCACCCAAATCTGGCCAGATGGTCATCTCTACCGTGACGCTGTGGGTGAGGGGATAGGCGTGCTGGTGGGGAGGGAAGGCGCTCCACTTTCTCCGGAAGGTGAGGTGGCCCTGCTCAGCATGGCCCCCTGCCCCGCCTTCTCCTGTGGAGACCCATGGCAGTTCCAGGAGGCCTCGTGGAGCCGAAATATAGTGGTGATTAAAGCAGTCAAATGTTGACACTGTATTCCGAGGTGCTTCATAGAGGGAACCGTACCAATCCTGAAGGACAGGCCGGCAGGCCAGAGCCGCGCGCTGCGGTTTTCTTTAGTCACGTCCCCCTCCACCCACCACTCACGGGGCTGCCCGAGTTTGGGTTGTAACCGGTAAAGCTGCGGCCTGAGGGGTTCACCCTTCTGTCATCAGCAATTCCGTGTATGGGCCCTTTGCAGGGGAAACAAGAAAGTTGACTTTTCAAGCTGAACCCCTAAAAACCTTAGAGCTGCCTTCCCCATCATTTCCTTACGTTGCACTTGCGGAGGCGGGCGTAAGATTCAGAGTAAGGACCATAGGTGTGTGCGAGGAGCCCTTCCCTCTCACTCTGTACCCCACCCTCGCAGTTGCAGGCACATTAACAGCCCTGTAACAGGCACTAGCACCCCAGTGTTCCAGTCACGCACTCCTTCCCCAGCAGGACCAGAATCCCCACGGGCAAAGCCCCTCCCCCCATTCATTCTGACTGTGTCCGGCCGGAGGCGCTCGCCAGAGGGCACACGGGGGCGACTCGGGGCTACCCTAGGCCTCGCGGTCGCCGCACTGCGCGGAGACACCAGTAACTGTGTGGGGGTCCCCGCCGCTGCACCCCATCCTTACCCGGGCCTGAGGAAGTGGGCAGGCTGCGCTATCGCTGAAAGAGCAGGAGCCACAAAAAAGCGGACGTGAGCGGCAGCGTCAACGCAAGGTCAGCGGGCGAACAGCCTCCAATTCGGTGTCGCTTGCAGGCCGCGTGACAGAACACAACCAATCCAGGACTAAAGCGGGTTGTTTCCCAAAAAAAAAAAAAAAAAAACCCAACAAAAAAAAAAACACCCCAACCCAGCTGCTTCCGGCTTCCGCCGCGGCTCCTCTCCGCGGCTCCTCTTCCCGCGTCTCCTGCGCCTCCCGTTACCGAGGCCGCCCCGCGCCCGCAGGTTTACAGTGTCACCCCGGTCCCCGCCAGCTCCCCAAACTCCCGGCGGAGAGCACCGCCTTCCTCCGCTCCACCGCGCCATGGCCGCCACCGACGTGTCCACCAACCTCCAGGAGGAGGCCACCTGCGCCATCTGCCTCGACTACTACACAGACCCGGTGATGACCGACTGTGGCCACAACTTCTGCCGCGAGTGCATCCGGCGCTGTTGGGGTCAGCCCGAAGGCCCATACGCCTGCCCCGAGTGCCGCGAGCTGTCCCCGCAGCGGAACCTGAGGCCCAACCGCGCTGTGGCCAAGATGGCCGAGATGGCGCGGCGCCTGCACCCACCGTCGCCCGTCCCGCAGGGCGTGTGCGCTGCGCACCGCGAGCCGCTGGCGTCCTTCTGCGCCGACGAGCTGCGCCTGCTGTGCGCCGCCTGCGAGCGCTCCGGGGAGCACTGGGCGCACCGCGTACGCCCGCTGCAGGACGCAGCCGAGGACCTCAAGGTGCACGGCGGGGGCGGGGGCAGAGACGCGGCCTGGGCCCGGTGGGTTGGGCTCAGCCTGGCTCAGGTCGAGAGAACGCGGTCTGGCCTGAGGGTTTGGGAGGCTCAGCCTGACCCAGACCAGCACCTTCGCGGGGCTAGGGCACCACTCACCAGTGGGGCGCCGACGTGGGGACCTGGGGATAGGCGTTCTCTTTGAGGCCGAGGTCCCGCGGTGACGGGGGAAGGGCCCACCGCCTGGGGCCGGTACTGGACAGGTGTAACTGAACGGTGGGGCGTGGAGTCCAGAGCAGGAGAAAGCGGGAAGAAAACCTCAGAGGCAGCTTTCCCTCAGGTGGGGACGAGTGAAGACTGTTATTTCTGGTGGGAGGGTGCCCTGTGGCCAGGGCCCGTGGTGGGGCCTCAGCCAGTGCTGAGGTCCTGGTGGGAAGAGACTCCGGGAGGCAGGCAGGGTCCTACCTCGGAGCCCCATGTTGGGAACGATGGGGGACAGAGCCTTTGCCCTGGGAGGCAGACGCTAGGCGGCTTTCGGAGTGAGCGCTTGGGGCCACCACCGCCGTCTGACACGCTGGGCTTGGGCCCCAGGAGGAGAAGCCTTGCTTGCCCGTTCTAGAAATGCATTTCCTTCAAACCCAAACCCACTCCCTCTTCCGCTGGGAGCCTCAGGGCAAACAGCTCACCTGGCCCCCCTGGCCTGCCTGGCCTGTTGCCTTCGAAGGGTTTGTTTCTGGAACCCAGGTATTGATGCCCGGGTGGCATTTTTCAAACTTTTTGACCCGCTTGCCTTTTGTGCCACAGCCGGTAGCCTGTGTCCGCCAGACGCGCCCTGGAAGAGTTTAGTGGGCGTCCGAGTCGGTAGGCGGCCAGCTGGTCGCTGCCATAGAACAAGCTTGCGAGGCACCAGAATGAGCCTGTTCCCTAACCCCGTCAGCGAGCCTGTCTTGACGTGGGTTCCTGTGGTCTGTCCTCTCACTCTGAGGTATTGCATGCACACAGGAGTGTCTGCTCATGTTCAGCAGGTTGGTCACCGACACCCTGATCAGGGTGCAAAAGTGACTGTGAGAACAGAGAGTGACTGGCAGCTCTGCGGAGGCTCCTTCTCGCTGCTGTGATGGTCTCAGAGGGCAACACTGAACCCCATGGCGGGGTGGGGCGGGGCAGGGGTTGGGGAACCTTTTCCTCTGCCCTCAGGTTCCCGATGAGGCTTGTAAATAAATCTGACAACAGACAGATTAACAGATGAAAAAACAGTTTTTTAGTCTTTTAAATTTTATATGGATGACTTCGTAGAAAACCAGAAAACCAAAATGAGTGATTAGACTCAAAGACTTATATTCCAAATTAAGAGAGGAAAGTAAGTTGTGGAGAAGTGAGCAGATGAAGGAAACACGTGGGGCTCTAGGGCCAGTAACTTACGAGGAAGTGGGGAAGGTGGGGGAACCACGGGAGGACCAGCTTTATCTAGGAAGGTCTGTTTAGGCTCACTCAGGGATGCCTCCTCGTCTCTGGCGAAGAGCGTGTCCGCTTCATGGTACAGGGAGGCCACCCTTCTCGTGGGAAGTTCTTGACCTGCCTTTAGGGAGAATGAAGGGAGGTGGAGGGCTCTTCCCGCACCTGGTGCCCACTTTGTCTTGATGCTGGGATGCCCCCGAGCTGGTGGTGAATAGGGTTGAGGTCAGCAGTGGGGTGTTGCCTGAGGCCAGGCCTGAGGCTGCCGGGTCCAAGTGTCCCTGGGTTTCTTCCAACAAATCTGAACCTTGGTGAGCCTCGGACAGGCACAGCAGCAAAGGGACTTGCAGGAGAGAAGGCTGCGATGCAGCAGGAAGTCGGGCTGGAGAGATTGTTGGGAAACAAGGAAAGGTGGGAGGACGGGAAAAATGGGCAAAGGGGCCGGGGGGGCCTGGGAGGCAGGAGGTCAAGCAGTGAGCAGGCATCTCCTGGCAGATTCCGTTTGCTCTGTCCTTTGTGTCCCAGACAGTTTCCCACGAGTGGCTCCCATCTGTCAAGTTAGGCTCGGCTGGGGCTGGGGCTGGGCAGGGTCACCGGCTGGCCTCACCTCCCTGCAGGGCAAGCTGGAGAAGTCCCTGAAACACCTGCAGAAGCAGATGGAGGACGCGCTGCTGTTTCAGGCCCAGGCAAAGGAGACCTGTGCACTGTGGCAGGCAGGTGGCTGGGTGCCGAGGTCCCAGGGCTGGAGGGGTGGGGCACGGGTGCCCCCACTGCTGGGAGCTGCCTGCCCTTCACACTGATGTTCCTCCTAAGGCATCGCTCCTCCTCCAGACCCTCAACCACCCCTAGGTGGCTTTGGGTGGGAGGCCTGGTGGTGGATTTCGGGCAGCTCACCGCTCCCCTCTGCCCTATGCAGAAGATGGTGGAGACGCAGCGGCAGAACGTGCGCACAGAGTTTGAGCGGCTGCGCTGCCTGCTGGTGGAAGAAGAGCAGCGGCTGCTGCAGAGGCTGGAGGAGGAGGAGCTGGAGGTGCTGCCGCCTCTGCAGGAGAGCGTTGCCCGCCTTGGGCAGCAGAGCGCCCAGCTGGCTGATCTTGTTGCCGAGCTGGAGGGGCGCTGCCAGCTGCCGGCGCTAGGGCTGCTGCAGGTGAGCACGCCTGGAATGGGACACGGGCTCAAACAGATGGGGTGCCAGGATGGGGTGCTGGCACGGAAGAGGAAGCCCTGGGCGGGCAAGCCGTCTGACCGTAGCCTTTCCTAGACCTCCTGTGCCCTACCTGGGAAATACTGGGGTGAGGGTATCCCAGCTGTGGCTGCATGTCCCTTTGGGCGTGGATGGAGGGTAGGTATGAATCCTGAACCTCCCTGAGAACTGCCGTGGCACCTGTCCAAGAACCCCATGGGGGACAGAGAAAGTGAAAGTTTGGGTGACTTAGTCCACCACCCAGGGCCCCAGCTGCACCAGAGTCTAGGGCCCTGGGTGTCCCTCTAGGCCTTCCCCCAGCCATCGTCCGTGGGTACAGGTCATTTTCCTAATGGGACATGTATCTGAGTTGCCCAGAGTGGCCAGGCGGTCTCCACGGAGGTCAGCTCCCCTCCTGTTAGGCCCAGGCCCCCCTACCCCGCCCCTGGGCAGAGGCGCCCCGACTCCATCCTTCTCCTCAGTAGTGAGGGCAGCCCTGGCCTTGTGACAGCCAAGAGCACCGTGTCTCCAGCACCCAGTAAAACAGCCAGACACGGACGGCCACTTCTCGCTGCTCTGCCGCAGCCCAACCCAGGCCCTTCGCACGTGTCCCCCTTACCCCCTGCTCCCCCGCCCCGTCCCCCTGGCCTGCACTGTTTCCTGATGAATCCTCGGGCTTCAGAAACCCGCCAGCCTCCCGTGTCTTTTCAAGCCTGGCAGTTCCCGTGTCCCCCAGACAGATCAATTACTGTGTGTGAAACCTGCTCCCCCCTCAAAGGAAGTCCTCGTCGGGCTTAGCGTCTCACTCGCCTCTGCGTCCTGGCGTCGGGCTCGGGAGCTGGTGCGGTGTGGTTAGAATGACCACTTCTGGGGTTCATTTCATTGACAAAGTAGACTGGGTCCCTGCCATTTGCCAGGCAGTGTTCTTAAAAGACAGACAGATCCCGACGGTGTGGTTCAGTGGGCGTTGTCCTGCAAAGGTCTCCAGTCCCCAGTCAGGGCACGTGCCTGGGCTGCAGGTTTGATCCCAGGCAGGGCATGTGTGAGAGGCAGCTGATGGATGTATCTCACATGGATGTTTTTCTCCCTCTCCCTAAAGATAGATAAATAAAATCTTAAAAAACAAAAAAAGGAAAGACAAACTTTGCTGCCAGGAGCTGCCATTCCAAATAACAGAGTGTATCTGTCAGCTCAGGCTGTGTAACAAAAGCCACAGGCAGGTGTCTTAAGCAACAGACCTTTATTTCTCCCCGTCCTGGAGTCTGGACCCTGAGATCCGGGTGGAGGCAGGGCTGGCTCCCCTGCGGCCTCTCCTTGGCCTGTGGACGCCCGTCTCCTCCCTGTGTCCTCACGTGGTCATCTCTCTGTGTTTCTGTGTCCTCACCACCTCTTTCTATAAGGACACTGGTCATGGGGATTAGGGCCCACGCTAGTGACCTCATTTTAACCTAATCGCCTCTTTAAGAAGCCCGGTCTCCAAATATAGCCCAGTTCAAGGTCCTGTGCTTTGGGGCTCCAACGGGTGGATGTGGGGGCTGCTGTCAACTGGCAGCACTGAGTAAAATGCACTCATGCAGGGTTTTGGGAGAGGAGCACCTAGGCAAAGGGGCCGCGTCTGGAGGCTGGGCCGTGAGTAGAGGCCAGGCGGGTGCCTGTGGGGTGGACAGGGCGTGGGAGCAGGTGAGGCCACCAGCAGACAGGAGCCTTGAAAGGCAGGACAGATGCAGGCCAGGCTCCCAGCTGGGGGCAGCTGGGCCCCACCCTGCCTGTCCCTGGAACCCAAGGGCACGCCAGGCTCCGGGTGGGCGAGCTGGCAGCCAGGCGCCGCATGTAGACAGGATGGGGCTGACTCTGCAGGGCTGGCTGCTCCCCAGGCTTCTCAGTGTCCCCGTGACAGCACACTCGGCACAGGCCAGGGACAGGTAGACTGCATGGGGGGTGGGGGGGGGCCGGGACCATTGACGAGCACTGACACCACCTGTCTCTCCCACAGGACATCATGGACACCCTGCGCAGGTAGGAGCCCGGCCTTTCCCTAGGGAAGGCGGTCGGGTGCGGGGGGGGCCTGCCCTGGGGGTGATGCCAGGTTGCCCCTCCAGGGTCCAGGATGTGAAGCTGCAGCCGCCCGAGGTGGTGCCCATGGAGATGAGGACGGTGTGCAGGGTCCCGGGGCTGGTGCAGGCCCTGCGGAGGTTCCAAGGTGGGTGCTGCGGCGTGTGGTGGGGGTACGTGGCCAGCAGCTCGCTCTGATCCAGAGCCAGTGCCCACCCCAGTGCTTTCAGGAAAAGTGGGCGTTGGTCCTGCGGGTGTCAGGGCCCCTTGTGGGCCCGGGCCTGGGAGCCCAGTGTGGGGGAGGGGCTGGAACACAGGATTGGAAGAGTGGGCATGGAATGCGCGCTCAGGTTCCTCCTGACCCGAGAATGAATCGCAAGGTGTGTGGGGCCACTTTGCAGAGCATTCTGAGTTGCAGCCGCAAGTGGCGAGGTCTTTCTGAGGAAGACGCAGGAGGGGGAGCAGCTGTTGACCGCCAGCCCCTCTAAGCCAGCTCCAAGGGTGTGTGGGGGCAGACCTGGTGCAGCTTGGCAGAAGGGGCTCAAGAGGTGACCGCTGCTCTGTCCGCAGGGGACGTTACGCTGGATCCTGATACCGCGAACCCTGAACTGGTCCTGTCGGAGGACATGCAGAGTGTGCGGCGGGGGGACCAGCGGCAGCCCCTGCCTGACAGCCCCGAACGCTTTGACCCCGGGCCATGTGTGCTGGGCCGGGAGCCCCTGAGCTCCGGCCGGCACTACTGGGAGGTGGAGGTGGGCGAGCGGGCCAGCTGGGCCCTGGGCGTCTGCAGGGAGAACGCTAACCGCAAGGAGAAAGGCGAGCTCTTTGCGGGCAACGGGTTCTGGATCCTGGTGTTCCTGGGGGGCTCCTACAACTCCTCTGAGCGGGCCTTTGCCCCCCTGCGAGACCCACCCCGGCGTGTGGGCATCTTCCTGGACTACGAGGCTGGGCACCTGGCCTTCTACAGCGCCACCGATGGGTCACTCCTGTATGCCTTCCCCCAGACGCCTTTCTCAGGGACGCTGCGGGCCCTCTTCTCACCGCTGTCCAGCAGCCCTACCCCCATGACCATCTGCCGACCCAAGGGCGGGCATGGGGACGGGATGGCTCCCCAGTGAGCGGGCCTCTCGGGACCTTGTCCTGCCGTTGGCTCTCTCCGGGTGTCCTGAGCCATGTGAGAGTTCCCAGCACCGTCTTGCGTGCACAGTAAAACCTCTCTTATTCCTGAGAAGCTGTGTGCAAGCATGTGCAGGGCTGGCGACATCTTCCAGGGGACCACCTGTGGTCATCCCGTGTTGCGACTCCGTCACCGATGCATCGCTCACATCCCTCTGCAGAGCCTGAGCCAGGGTCCCAGGAGCTCTGCACGAGTCCGGCTGGTCAGAAGTGATGCACCAGGGCCTGTGGAACTTTCTGTGAAGCCTGAGCCTTCCGCAGCCCCAGGGCTGCACCCCCAGAGAGCTGCTGGACTGTGAGGCCACAGGCAGAGACGAACCCAACAGCCTCCGAGTCTGGGCCTAGAAAATAGGACGGCTGCCTCATCAGTCAGGATGCAGCAGTCCTCGGGAGAGGAGGGGCATGGGAAGAGCCGGAGAAAGGGCGCTCTGCGAAAGGTGCTACACAAGGGGGCAGAGGGACCTGGGTCCAGGCCCCTGAGCCCCTCAGCACGGATCACCCCGGGCTTCTGCAGGCCGCTCCTTCCCGCCGCAGAGCGGAGCACCACCAGCTCAGGAAAGATGCTCTGGCTCTGCCTGGGGAAGGGGTGAGGCTGCACAGATCCCCCGACCCTTCCCTTCCCGCCCCATAGCACCTGGGGTTTGTTGGGCTCGTTCTGGTGCTTCACAAGAAGTCATGGTGCAGCATCTCTGCACCCCAGGAAGATTTTAACCGTTGTATGGACCACTCTCACAGTAAATAAACGTTTTGTTGTGATCCTGCTGCCTTGGGTAGGGGTGGCTGCGGCCGGTGCTCACAGCCTGGTTGGGGAGACAGTGGCTGCCTGTTCATCCCGTGCAGCTACCACAGAATTCTTTTTCAAATAACCTGATTTACAGTTCTAGATTCCATGGTGTTCAGTAGGTAATTACTCGATTATTTGTTTCTTGTTTCTCCCATTGGACTTGTTATTTTCTGTGTGTGCCATGTGCAGGGGAGGATTTTCTCCATGGAGCCAGGAGTCTGCCGCTTTTCTGGCTGGGGTTTTCCCATCCTTTCCTAGCTCACTGCCCACTCTTTCCCTGTCAAGAATCTGAGGACACTGGTTGGTTCCTGCCTGCAGCAAGATTTGGACTTTAAAGTTTGGGACTTCCCAAATGGCCACGGAACGCAGGAGGCGGGGCAGCCTCGGGCTGAGAGTGCACAGGAGCGCATGGCTGCCTGAGACCTGCAGGGCGGGTACCTTGCCAGGGCCCTGGAGCAAAGCTGAAGGCTGTGGCCAGGCCTGGAGCCTGTGGACAGGCGGGTGATCCTGTCCACCCACGTGATCCCTGTTTGTGCCCCTGTAATGAGGTTAATGAGAAAAACCAGCGTATTAACACATTCACCTTGTGCAGGTGGGGGAGAGGCAGGGAAAAGAGCAACTCCTGCAGCAGCTTAGAACGGCGTCCGCAGCCTCTGCTGCAGGAGGGCTGAAAGGCTGACGGAGTCGGGAGCTCTGAAGGTCCCGCGCCAGTTCTGCGCTGACTCCATCCTTCCTGGGGAGGAGGCACCACGTTTTAGGGTTGTAGGGTTTGCAGCTTCTCCACTCTGCTGCTTGTCCGCTGCATCCAACCCGAACGGTCCTGTTGCCGCACGTGGGTGTTGGGGGTGGGACGCTCGGCCTCCGTTCCTGGTGACAGGAGGAGCGAGCCGCTGTGCTGCCCGTCCCTGCACATCCCGAGTGCGCTCTGCACGCGTTCCACCTGCTGAGCCAGTGGGCTGCATGGGTGGTGGTCCTGCACTGTGCCGGGCACCACAGACCACGGTAAACTAAAGATCCTGCCCAGAGAGGATACCTCAGCATGGCTAGAAAACTAGAAAGTCTCCTCTGGCAACAGGCACCCCCTGCATGAACAGAGGGCATGTTTTCACGCCAGTGAGTTTGTCTGTCTTTAGCAGCGCCTTCATCAGCAACTGATGTCTCTCACACCAGTGGTCTCCAAGCTTTGCCACCAGGGACCGTTTTCATGGAAGACAGCTTTTCCATGGATGGGGGTAGGGCGGGGGGGATGGTTTTGGGATGATTCAACCGCATTACTTTCAAGCTCACCTACTGTGCAGCCCGGTTCCGAACAGGCCCAGACGTGCTGGTCCGCTGCCAGCAGGTGGGGACGCTGCCTTACACCACCAGCCGGCGCGTCCTGTGCCGGCAGCGGGTGAGTCCCGCGGTCATCGTTTGTCGGCTCTCGCGGGCTGTCCTGACAGCCTCGAGGAAAACGAAGTTGGGTGGAGGTGGAGAGCCAGATGTCAGATGTGATCGGGTACCCAGGCTTCCATCCCGAAGTCACCCTCCGCAGAGCCTGCCGCGTTCAGAGTGCCCAGGAGCCCTGGCCCCAGCTGATGGGATGGCGCAGCCTCGGGGCGGGGAGCCTGAGGGAAGCGATTGGAAGGGCCAGCGTTCTGGCCCTGGCTGAGTGGCTCACTTGGTTGGAGCGTCCGGAACACCAAAGGGTTGCAGGTTTGACCCCCATTTGGAGCACATGCAGGAGGCAACTGAGCAATATTTCTCATGTATGATTCTCTTCCTCTCCCGCATCCCCGTTCCTCTCTGAAATCAAGAAACCTGTCTTAAGAGGGTGATTTTTAAGTGAGCGTTCTAGGCGTGACCAGCGCTGTGAAGGAAACCCCAGGATGCGTGGGGGACCCCAGGTGTGTGTGACTGCTCTAACCCCAGGGCAGTGTGTGTGGCAAAAGGAAAATCTGAGATACAAAAGCAGCTGCTGGGCCTGGATGGGTGTCTGTCCCTGGTGTCCCTTTTTCTTCCGCTCCTTCTGCCCCTCCCTGGGCATTCCACAGGATCGCGTTAAGACGGGGGGCGGGGGGGTTCTTCATTTGTTCGTTCCCAGTCCACTAGTCTTAGCTAATCTGACAGCAAGTCTGCACAGTAGCACCGATTCCACACTGAGTCAGCAGGAGGGAGGCAGACCGCTAGAACAGGGCTGGATTTTAAATAACTTCACTCTCTGCTTCTCTCGCGCCCGCCCCCCTCCCCACCTTGTAAAGGGACAATTCCGTAAACTCCCAGCCGAAGAACTTGCACAGTCACTCCAGGTGCGGGTGGAGTTGAGGCAGCACGGGAAGAAGTCTGAGACTGCGCAGCTGTTGCTGGCCAGTGGCGGGCATCCTGGTTGCCAGGCAACGCCTTTTATCCCTTAGGTGGAATGAATAGTAAACGAAGGCTGGGAGGCAGAGGGAGACAAGTCTCACCCCCTAACTCAGAAGCCCCGAGCCGGGTGTTCCAACGCCACACGCAGCACCACGTGAGCACAGGGGGAGGGCAGTCCTTGAAATTCTGTGCAGTGTTTCCACCGCCTGGGAGAGGAAGCCTTGCAACTGCGCTTTCATCCCAAGGCCTGAAGCGCGGGAGAGGGTCCGCAGTGCCCAAAGGGGCAGCCCGTAGATGCCTTGGGGTGACTGCCCCGACTTTAACAGCCTCCTGTCGCGTATCTGTTTTACAAGATGAACAAATGGAGTCTGGAGCAAGATAAGGATCTGGGCTGACAGGCCTCCACACACACTTAACTCTGGGTAGTCACCCCCATCCCCCCAGGAAAGCTGGCACCACATTTACTCGTTCATCAAGTAACATTTTTACTCCCATCCTGCCAACTGTATCCGTCCTCAGAACGAAGGACAGGCGCGCTCTGCCCCGCTGGGCACTCCCGGCGCGCCCGCGCCAGCCTCAGGCCCCCTGCGGGCTTGACACTCCCTCTCCCCGCCGTCTTTAGCTTTTATTGCTTTTGCTGCCCTGCTTTGCCCTGAACCTCTGCATTTCACCCCTCCCCCGCCTTCGCGAGGCCCATTCTCTCCCACAGGAACGGACCACTAATCAACTCTGTACGCTCATAGACTTGCATCGATGTGTGATTCTTTCCATGCAAGAGGAACCAGGTCTCTCCCGTCATCAGATTCAGGCCCAACCCGCCCCAGATGCGCCAGGCCTGGAGCCTGTGGCCAGACTTTAAGGAGGGGCCCGGTGTCTGGGGTCCCCAGGACCGCGCCCCAGCCGGCCTTTCTGGAGGCGCCTGGAGCCATGAGGCTTTCAAGGTGGACCACTCTGTCCATCCGCAGTGCGTGCGACGTCCTGCGCCCCAGCCCCCATGAGCTCGGCCCTCCCTCCTCCCACTCCTGCGTGCCGCTCACCCCAGGCCCTCCGTGCTCCGCACACCCCTGCCCGCAGGTCCCTCGCCACTGCCCGCGAACCCCGCACACCGCGGGCGCCCCCGGGCCCCCGCCTCGCAGCCCTCTGCACGCGCCCTCCCCCCACACCCCGCAGCCCTCTGCACGCGCCCTCCCCCCGCCCCCCGCCGCCCTCTGCACGCGCCCTCCCCCCGCCCCCCGCCCCCCGCCGCCCTCTGCACGCGCCCTCCCCCCGCCCCCCGCAGCCCTCTGCACGCGCCCTCCGCCCCCCCCCCGCCGCCCTCTGCACGCGCCCTCCCCCCGCCCCCCGCCGCCCTCTGCACGCGCCCTCCCACCACCCCCCGCCGCCCTCTGCACGCGCCCTCCCCCCCCCCCCCCGCAGCCCTCTGCACGCGCCCTCCGCCCCCCCCCCCCCGCCGCCCTCTGCACGCGCCCTCACCCCGCCCCCCGCCGCCCTCTGCACGCGCCCTCCCACCACCCCCCGCCGCCCTCTGCACGCGCCCTCCCCCCACCCCCCGCAGCCCTCTGCACGCGCCCTCCCCCCCCCCCCCCCGCAGCCCTCTGCACGCGCCCTCGCCCCCCCCCCCCCCCGCCGCCCCCCAGCCCCCCGTCGCATCCCAGCACCTCCCCCAGCACCGGCCTCCTCCCTCTATCCCTGCGCCGTCACCTGGGCGCCGCCTGACCCCCGCTCCCGCCCTGCCGGGGACCCTTGTTCTGCCCACACCCCCTTTCCCAATCACTCTTTGTGTTGGTAACAGTTTTGTTGGGAAAGAATTTCCACGTCACAGAATGTAGCTGTTTCAGGCGGACCATTGAAGGCGTTACAGGAGCCCCGTCATGACGGCAGTTCACGTTCAGAACGTTCCGTCCCCTCAGAAAGACTTGATTCAGGTTTCGTACAAGATTTTCACATTCATACGTGGGTGGGGGGCACCCGTCTGTGGTTTTCCTGGGGTCCCGGTCCCCCCGCCTGCTTCCTGAACACGCTGCGCGGAGTCGCGGCTGCTCCGCGTTCAGTTCCGTGGGACTCTCCCCGAGCCCGTGGCTGCGCTTTTCCTCACAGGAGATTTTAAAGTACTGTTTCCGTTTCTTTAATTGCTATGGACCTGTTCAGATTTTCCGTTTCTTAAGTCTTTCTAGGAATTTGCCCATTTAGCCTACGTGGTCTAATTTTCTGGCATAAAGTTCTTCAAAGTATTTTATTACCCTTTTGGTTATTGAAAGGTTGGCAGTGATGTGCCTGTCATTGCTGATCTTGGTGATTTGTGTCTTTTTTTTTTTTTTGTCTTGATCCGTCAAACTAACACTTTCATAAACTTTGTGAAAATTATTTTGATCTTTTCAAAGAACAATTTTTTATTTTATTTGGCATTCTTTGTTCTTTCTTGTTTCCATTTCAGTGATTTCCACCGCATCTTTATTGCCCGCCCCCCCCCCCGCCCCGTTTTGCTTGTTTGGGGTCCAGGCTGCTTCTCCTCCCGAACTCTCCCGCCGGCGGAGGTTCGGCGGGCGCGGGGGCCCCTCCGCCCCAACACAGGCCGCTGCGAGCTCCCCCTGCTCGGGCTGCGTCCCGTCACTTGTGACGTTTTGCGTTCATTTTTATCCAGCTCAAAACACTTACTGTCTTTGTGATTTCTTTTTTGACACAGATTATTTAGAAATATGTTGTTTATTTCCAAATATTTGAGGCTTTCCCAAATTGCTCCTGTCGCTGACTTCTGGTTAAACTCCACGGTTGGGAAAACCCACACGCAGCTGTGCCAGAGCCTGGAACCCCGGCC